AGCTGCTACAGCCCGCACGGTGCGGATCTGCCCAGGCAGGTGGGCAAAGCCAGTCCCTGCCTGTGTTGGGCTGATCTGACAGCGGTGTGCCTGCGCCTGTGAGCATCTGCGTCTCATCGCCTGTGCTTGGGCAATGAAACCGAGAAAGCCAGTCAGAGAAACTCTCTGAGACTCATTGTGCGGTTCTAGAAAGCAGGTTCCTTATTGCAGCGCTGGACACACACAGGGATTGCTCCCCCAAGGTGTGTGTGTGTGTCCATCTTTGTTTCAGCACATGTTATATTGACCTAATACTTGTATATTCAGTGAACTTCCGAGAAATTATCTACATACTCAAAACATTTCCCGTAACTATTTAGCACATGTAAATGTCCTTCACACTTGTGCAGTAAAATGAGTCAGTGGTCTTGATAGCCTTCATCACTGATTGAACTCCTCTTTGATTCTGCGCAGTGTCTCTTTTACATGCTTGGGACAATATTCCTTGAAGAATGTTTGGTCCTTCCTCAGGCTTAAGCACTTCTGATAGTTTTATGTTAGAAGATTTGCAAAAGGTCCTAAAGTTATCAGCAATTTGGGAGGAATTTCATTCAAAGGCCGTTAGCATATGTAAATATCAAACAACTAGGTGATAAATGCTCATTCCCTGGTTATCAGCAATTTTATTCAAAGGTTGTTACAACAGCTGGGTGATGTCCAAGCAACTAAGGGATCTGTAAATCTTTTAGTTTCTAATTTCTCAGAGTTTACTCTTTCAGCAAGCAGCGCCTGCCCCAGCTGCAAACTGCTTTTAGTGGAGGTCTGTGGCCACCATGTGCTGCTGAAGCCTCGGACACTTGTCACATTGGACCAAGGCAGTGGTTCTGTGACCAACGTACCTGGTGCCACCTCAAAAACAGAGCTGAGGGGCCGGGCTGATGGGCCAGACCTGCGTGGCCTCAGCCCAGGGCCTCAGGGATGAGCCCAGAATGAACCCAGGGTGTTTTTTGGGGTGACTTCACTGACGTTAGGACCTTTGCATAACTCAATGCACTGTCCCACTGAGCAGAGGGAAGTGTTTCAAATCTGTGTTCACTACAGGTATCTTGGTAGGAATTTGTAACACAAGTGGAGAATTTTAAAGGATGATGAGCAAATCCTCCTCGGCCTTTTTCCCTTGAACATGAGTTCCCTAGAGGAGAAGTCACAGGAGGTTTGGGTAAAAAAGCATCTGCCAGCAGAACGAAGGTGACCTCTCTGTCCTTCCTTAGGAAACCTAAGGGGGGGTGCAATTAGCTCCAGCATCATTTTATTAATAATAGCAGAAGTGCCAAATGCCCTGGGTGCATGGGTGGCTTTCAAAGTTGTCTGGACAGAAAGTATTTCCTCAGCAGAAGGGAGCTGTGGTGCAGAGGGAATAACATAACGCTCTGGGGGGAAATGCTGGCATCTGGCAGATGCAACCAGGACGGGGGTGGCAGGTAAGCAAACACATCTCTGCAAATGGAGCAGGATAAACCCACTTTGATTTTATTTTCACTGCAAAACACTTTCCCTTGGTCAGGACGTAGCCAAAGGACGATGTGTGTAAGCAGAAAACACATATAGTAAAGGCAGCCCAAGAGGGATTTTCTAGCACTGTCCCAGCATCAGCCGGAGCTGCTGCTGAGCTCAGCATCTTGATGAGATGATAAGTGGTTTTGGAGAGCAACTTTAATTAAGCTTCCTCTGAATGTCCCAGCTCCTTAATTAACAAATAACAATTTGCAGCACTCAGACGTCTACTGGTTTTGATAGGTACTCTTCTCTTCCTAAAGCAGTTTCTGCCTGCGGGAGTCGAGGTAGCTTGTGGTGTGACAGCTCTGTCCTGGATCCCAGAGAAGATGCATCAACAGGAGCAATGCAGCTGTGAAGGCAGCAAATGGGGGCTTGTTCAGCTAAAACCCTTTGAGGAAGATTTGGATAGCAGTAAAATCCCAGATTTTTTTCCCTATAGGATGTCAGCATGCTACTCTTGAAGGAAACTTGTTCTAACTGGGGAAATGGCTCCAGGTGACCATTTAGCCTGTGACACACGTTCCTTGAGGAAGAGACAGCAGTGCTTGAAGAGCTTTGAGGGGTGCCCTGTGCAGTGAAAGGGGACGCTGGAGCATTTTGCTGCAGTTTGGAGCCACAGCAGACTGCCTAAGGAGCCCCGCAATCATCCCTGACTTCAAATAAAGTTGCAACTTAGTTGGCCTTCTGCTTTTTATGTCCTTGTGTTTGACCTGAAGGATGCCTCTGCTTGTTTTGCAGTGGGTTGCAGTTACAGAATCTCAGAATTACCTAGATTGGAAAAGACCTTTAAGATCATCAAGTCCAATCATTAACCCAACACTGACAAGTCCCCAACTAACCCATGTCCCTAAGCAGAGTTGCCTGGAAAGGAAAACCTGAACCAAGATTTTGGAGAAAGTGCAGTAAACCCTTATGCTTATCGTGATACCTTGGCTTGACTGACAAGTGCCACGGTACATCGGGATGCAGCTGAAGCCCAAGCTAGTGCTCGGTACCTCACCACAGGGACAGCTGGTGTGCCACCGAGCCAGCTCTGTGCCCGGATTAAGGGCACTTGTGTTGGCAGCCATCCTCAGGCTATAGATAGCTGCTCTCTGTCTCTGCCATGGGTCTCGTGTGGGGAGGCAAGAGAAGCAGCAGGAGGGGATGGTTTTCCCTGGGACATCCTCAGCATCCTCCCCCCTGCATTTTGCATGGCAAAGGCTCTGGGTTTCTCTACAAAACCGCAATTCCCAACTCTTTTATAAGGAAACCGCCCTGGAAAGTCAGGGGATGCTGGAAGCTGTGGCTCTGAGCAGCAAGTGGGGAGGCAGAGGTTGGCATGGTGCCCCTCGCCTGTGCCTCCCTCCCCAGGAGGAACATCGCTCATGACAGATGGATTCCATCCTTCCCCCGCAGGCACAACTGCGTTTTGCAAGACTCTATTCACATCAGGTGTTTGCAGAAGCGCAGCTTTCCCGTGTCAGTGTGCACAGTGGCAGTGGCCCAGATTTCCCCTCTCTAAGCAGACAAGAGACCCTTCTTCCACATCCTGACCTGGATTTTATCCCAGCTCCTCTGGGAGTGCAGCCATGACCCTTTGAAGGCAATGCTGGAGCTCCTGCTTCTGCCATGCGTCGGCCCTAGATACCTTCTGACGCATCCCAGGGGCTGTTTTCAGGGGGATGACTCAGATCTGTCACCTCCTGGGATGGAGGGACAGGGCCAGGCACGATTCCTCACTCTGCAGGGAATCCCAGGGCTGGGGTTCACCTCGGGGCAGCATTTCACTGGGGGGGTCTCCATGGGAGTGCCCAGGAGGGTTTGGGTGATGGTTTGGTGGTGTGGGACAGCAGGTCCCCATCCCAGCCTGTGCCCTCACCTAAGGACAGGCTGCAGTGCCCTTTAACAAAATAACTACTGCCCTTTGCAGCTTTTTCTGCCTTTTCTATGTTCAAGGCAACAAAAATATTAATAGATACAAATTCTGAAAACTAACATACTTCAAAAATTAATTCCTTAAATGCCACTATTTTCCTTTTTAATACCTCTGCCATTCCCATGGTGGGAAGAGGCAGAGCCCGGCTGAAGCCTGGGTAAATCAAGGCCAACAAGTGCCCTCAGGACCGCAGCTCATAGCAGGCTCTGCAGCAAGTTAATCTTTTGGGACTGGAAAACCTGGGATGGTGTGGTGCAGGGTTACAGCTCTGTGCTCACCCACACCCTCACTTTGTGCTGATACCACCCTGGGTCACTGGTTAATGCCACCTTGGCCAGGTGTTACATAGGGACAGCAGGTTTTGTGTGTGCCACATGATTTCTGTTAAAGGGAGAAGAGATTTTTAGAAGACATGAGACCTAACAGCTGCATCCATAATATTTCCAGTTTTGGCAGCTGATGCCCATATGAGCTAGCTGGAGGCAAGACTTCATCACCCAGGGATGCTGGAGCCATCCTTTGGACACAAGAGGGAGTCCTGAATCACCAAAAAGAGAGGTTTTTGCTTTGATTGCTATGGATTAAAACGCTTTTCCCTGCACTGAAAAAACGCTGGTCATCACTCAGAGGCCTTGGGAGTGTTTTGCTCTCCACTGCGGTGGAGTAAATCCACGGCAAATCCAGGAGAGTGGATTTTCCCTGTTTGCAGTGGGCACAGGTCAGCTCGCTGGTTGGGTGAAGCATGTCCTGGTTTCCTAAAGAACTGGGAATTATCCCTGAAATCAAGCACAGCTGACAGCCACCTCCCCATTTTCCAGCCCGAGTTAAATGCAGGAAATAGAGACAAAGCTCCATCTACCTCCACGCTTCTCCTCACTGCGGCATCAGGACTGCACATGCATGGCATTGAGGGCATCGGTCCCAGCTGCATGTCTCCCCACAGCATGTCCCCTCATGGGCTTGGGGACAGTGGACAGGGAGGCCCTGACACCTCCTATTCCTGCTTGGAGACATGCCTTTCCTGTATTACCCAATTTAATTTGGCACAGTATAATCTTTCTACTGCAGCTTCCAGGAGGGGAAACACACAGGAGGTGGAGGTGACATATGTCCAGTCAGGACAGCCAAATACCGCAATATATCAGCAAGGGTCCTGC